AGGGACAGCACATTAGTGGTTTCCTGAGGACAAGTTAGGGGGATCGATTACAAAGGGGCAAAAGGAAACTTTTGGGGGTAATGTACATGTTTATTATTCAATTGTGGTGGTGATTTCATGGGTGAATATATACATCAAAATGTATAAATCTGTATATTTCGGATATGTGCAATTTAATGCTCATTAATTATACCTCAATAAAAGTGTTTAAAAAATACAGTTTAAACTATAAGTGATTATATAATAGTTAAATTTGTAACAGATACACATAAAAATCTAGAATATATACATTATACTTTATTTTTAAAGGTCACTGAAAGGTCTGGATTGAAGAGAAAAGATCAGCTTGGTTGGAGAAACATAATCAAATTGGATCTGGGAGGGAAATTGATCTGATAGCAGTGTGCAGAATAGATTCGATGGAAAAGAAGGCAGACCAAAAAAGCAGTTAGCAATTTATAGACTAGCCCATATGTGAGTAACAAGGTATACATAAGTTGTTGGACACAGGTGTAAAGGAAGGAATTTAATCAGTAAACCAATATTTGAGTGCCTTTAACTATAAATAGTAGTTCTGTTCTGGGTGCTTGTGATGAACAAGACAGAAATACCTGCCTAGCTGGAGGAGCTTCCTTCCTACTGGGAGAAACAGGCAATAAACAAGTAAATTTATAATGTATGTCAGTTATTTGAAAAATGATACAATGAAAAAGAAGGAGGGCCAGGGTATGAAGAATTACAATTCTTTATCATTAATTTAGTTTGCTCAGAGAAGGCCTCTATGAGGAGTTCAGGATATAATAAGGGATAGTTAGGATATAGTAAAAAAACATAGTAAAGGAAAAACAATGGAATTTATTGATTAACAAGACACTTTGTCTTTCCTCAACATCAAGAAACTTTCCACACATTCTCCAGCTTTGCATGTGCTCAAGTGAGGTGGGGATTTAATCCTCTGCCCTTGACACCCACACGAAGAAAAGGCTATGCTTAGTGAAATAATTTCTGTGTCAGTGTAATACTAAAACACATCTTACTTAAAATTTAGAAAGTAGAACTAAACATAAAGAAGCCAACTCCCATGTGGCCATACATCAATCTGAGTAGAAAAGCAGAGTGAAGAATATTTAGTCTTCAATGAAAAGAAGAGACAAAAATAATACTGGGGAGAAATTATTAAAGACAGCTGAGTCGACAGGTGTATACAATACTTTCTGTAAGACTCAAGAGCGTGGTATACTTCTATCTATCTATCCATCCATCTATCTATTTACTTATTTATTTTTCAGCATATTACAGGGTACAAATGTTTAGGTTACATATATTGTCTTTGCCTCAACCAAGTCAGAGCTTCAGGCGTGTCTATCTCCCAGAGGGTGCGTACCGCACCCATTAGGTGTGTATATACCCATCACCTCCTCCTCCTCCCACCTGCCTGACACCCAATTAATGTTATACTATACGTGTACTTAAGTGTTGGTCAGTTAAGTCAGTTAATACCAATTTGATGGTGAGTACATGTGGTGCTTATTTTTCCATTCTTGGGATACTTCACTTAGTAGAATGGGCTCCAGCTCTATCCAGGAAAATACAAGAGGTGCTAGATCACCATTGCTTTTTGTGGCTGAGTAGAACTCCATGGTATGTATATACCACATTTTATTAATGTACTCATGTATTGATGAACACTTGGGTTGTTTCCATATCTTTGCAATTGTAAACTGTGCTGCTATAAACATTCTAGTGCAGATGTCTTTTTTATAGAATGTCTTTTGTTCCTTTGAGTAGATGCCCAGTAATGGGATTGCTGGATCAAATGGTAGTTCTACTTGCAGCTCTTTGAGGTATCTTCACATTACTTTCCACAGAGGTTGTACTAGTTTGCAGTCCCACCAGCAGTGTATGAGTGTTCGTATCTCTCTGCATCCATGCCAACATTTATTGCTTTGGGACTTTTTGATAAAGGTCATTCTCACTGGAGATAAGTGATATCTCATTGTGGTTTTGATTTGCATTTCCCTGATGATTAGAGATGGTATACTTCTTTAAATACTAACACAATCTTGGACTGCATTAAGTGAAAAATAATGATAACAGGAAGGAAATCCTACTGCATTCTGTGCTGATCAGACCCAATCTACAGGATACGTTTGTATCTGTGCATGCTGTATTTTAGGACAACCCAGAAAACCTAGACTATATCCACAAGAGAACCTGTGGGGGAGTTAACGTACATCTCTTTTGACATGTCATGGAAAGTCAAATATAGGACTGTAGTTTCCAAAGAGACATAAGAGGTATAAAAGAGAGTTGTAGAAGAAAATACAATTCATATTATTTTTACTTTCATCTTTAAAAAGGACAATACTAAACTTCTTTTATAATATATGGACTGACAAAGGTTCATTTAATTAATGCTATATAATTGATACATATATGGTATATATTGGGGCTCTGCTCAAAATTTATTTTACTGATAAGGTTGTATAGTCAAAAAAAAAAAAAGGAAGAACTGGTCTAGGGAACAGAATATGGGGAAAACAAAATATGACTGAGGTTTCCTGGTACTTGTCTTCAAATATTAGAAGGCTTTTCTTATAAAAGAAGGAATAGATTTATTCTGTATTTCTTCAGAGGCAGAACTTGAACAAGTGGCTAAATTACAAGGATTAACACCTAATATAAGAACTTTCTAGTAATTAAAATTGTCAAACCAGGGAATAGGTTGCCTTGAGAAATAATGAGGTTTTAATCCTTTGTGTGGTCAAGACAAAAAATGGATAACTCTGTACCATTAAAACTGCAGAAGAGATATCTGATTGCATAACAGGCCAAGTCAGAAAACCTGTAGAACTGCTCCTTATATGCCAATATTAATAATTAATGATTATATTAAGTACTTAATATGAATGTTGTTATATAATAAAGAATTTTACTGGCCTTGGGTCCCTTGGCACCCAGGAAGGAGTCTTCCTAGGAGTCTTCCTCCTAGGAAGGAGTCTCTAAATGCTTAGAATTTCCAGAGTTACAGGAGTGTCTCTGTTATGCTTATGAGGTGATTTATGGTGGGCCTATAGACAGCTTCAGGATGGGGGCTAATGCTGCCAAAAGATCAACCATGTGATTAGAGAGTTGGGACTTTGCACCATGTGATATCAGCCTGACCTCCTAACTTCCAGGGAGTGGAAGGGGACTGGAGACTGAGTTCAATCCCAGGGCCAATCAATCACACCCACATAGTGAAACCCCAGTAAAAACTCTGGACTCAAAGTTCGGTAGAGATTCCTGGTTGGAAAACACACTAATGCACTGGGTGGGTGACGTGTCCTTATTTGATGGGGAGAAGGCAAAGAAGCGCTACATTCAAGACCCTCCAAGACCTTGTCGTAAGTGGCTCTTCATTTGGCTGTGCCTGAGTTATATCCTTTATTATATAAAACTATACTTATAAGTATAGTGCTTTCCTGAGTTCTGTGAGTCATTCTAGTGAATTATTGAATGTGAGGGAGTTGTGGGGACTCCCAAATTTGTAGCCAGTTGGTCATAAATGCAAGTGGCCTAGAGATAGATCCCCCTGAACTTGTGGCTGGGGTCTAATGTGGGGGCAGTAATATGGAGGACTGTACTCTTGTGGGGTCCACGCTAGCTCTAGGTAGTTAGTGCTAGAATTAAACTGCAGTACACTAAAAAAAAATATTTCAGTACACAAGCTGGTGTTAGACCAGCTGGGACTGAAACAGAATGATTATATTTAATACATTTGCTCTAAACATATTCACTCTAAACTTTAGTGTCGGATATAGCAGACCCCCTTATCAGTGGGGGATATGTTCCAAGACCCCCAGTGGATGCCTGAAATGATGGATAGTACTGAATCTTATATATACTACGTATGAATTTCTTTTTCTTTCTTCACAATTTTGTGGATAGAAAATTCGTTCTTATTGTAGATCTTGGCAACTTCAGCATATAATTTTTTTTCTTTCCTTATTAAATAAGAACTTTTATCTTTTCACTAAAGAAAGCACTTTGTAGCATCTCTTTGGCATATCCAAATGGCCTGCATCACTACTCTTATGCTTTGGGGCCATTATTTTAAAAAAATAAAGGTTACTTGTACACAAGCACTGTGATACAACAGTTAATCTGATAACAGTTGATCTGATAAAGTGACTAATGGGTAAGTAACATATACAGAGTAGATATTCTGGACAAAGGGATGATTCACAGCCCAAGGAGGACAGAGTGGGACAGCATGAGATTACATCATGCTACTCAGAATGGTGCACAATTTAAAATTTATGAACTGTTTATTTCTGTAATTTTCCATTTAATATTTTCAGACCATAGCTAATGGAAACTGTAGAAAGCAAAACCATGGCAAAGCTGGCACTACTGTATAGTCATTCACTTCTTCCTAACACTAAAACAGACATTTTCCTACACATAAAGTTGCATTATTTCAGAAGGTAACCTCTTACTGGAGAAAGAATACTAAATAGGTAGATATTTAATGTATACTGATATTATAAAGATTTGCATAATACTTAGAAAATAATAATGCTTTTGTTATTTGCTACAAGGTGAAACAATTCTAGAACAGAAAAAAGGAAGAACAAAGAAGAAACATTTAGCACTTTTCGACAAAATAATTCTGCTAAAAATACAGGCTACAACAATATAGTGTGTTAATTATTACCTGGTCTATAAATTCATGTCAACAAAGAGCTAAACTGAAAGTTTAATATTTAACATTTATTAATAGTAAAAAACAAAAGAAACACATACACAGGTTGTACCTACCAAAAATAGTCAAAATACATTAACACCTCAGATTATTGATTAAAATTCATTAGCAGGTCCTAGAAAAATTAAGTATTTTTAGACTAATTTAAATGTGTTTTTTCACAAGTAAATTTATTTTTTCACATTTCACATGTAAGACAGCACAATTAAGTTCATGCCAACTTCTGTATTTAATTAGTGAACGTGGTGCTTACCTGGTTTAACAGCTCGCCCACATAGCTGGGGTTGTAGAAGAACTTGTAACATGGCAGGGTTGTTTAAACTTTTCATAATTTGTACTGGATTTGGCTCCGGAAGTAAGCCCTTTTGATTACTGTGCATCTTCAATGAATACAGAAATAAGAAACATCAGCACAAGCATAAGTGCAAAAGATGTCATGTTAAAGGCTTTTTTCCAGGATTTCTCATAAGATCTATTTGATGATAAAAGCAATATGATTTACATTATATATTTTTGTGTACTTTCTACCACAGTTCTTAATGATAATGTTAAATGTTCCACCATATATATGACATGAAATCCTCATAGAATATCTTAGTTAAATACCAATTGGCTTCAAGAGGACTGACAATTTAGTACAATAAATCTCTTCATAAAATTCAAATAGAAAGATGACAAGGGAATCTGAAGTTATTAGCAGAGAGATAACTTGTTGACATAAGATGAATACACTGATACTGTAGAACAGTGTTATTATAATGTTCATCTGAAGTTTAATAATGTGGGTTGCCTTATAATTCAAAGTTTTCTTTTAATAAATGTATTTATTTCATTAATTTCATCCTCTACCATGAGACTAAAATTAACTGGCCTTACATATATGTAATTGGATAGCTTCCTAAAAATATGAAATTGTTTTCAGCTTTAACAGTCTAATAGATGAGGGGATATTAAAATAATGATATAAAAGGAAAAGTACAAACTTCTAGCCACGAGAAAATGGAGAACTGACAAAGACAACAGGATGCTTCTCGCCGTCTAGATACTGAGAGGGAGAGAATCACGGATCTGAGAAACATAAAAGCTGTGAAAACCCCAGGGGAGATAGAAGGTATGAAAGTAAACACCAGCAGAGAGCAAGAGAGAGCCTGGATCCACACACAGGATAATTCGGGAAGGGCTTTTGAGTTGCCTAACTACTTTGCTCCCTCTACTCTGCCTTCATGGGAGCATGGCTTTCCTGGCCCGCAGAGCAAGGCAGGAAAACAGCAACATCAGCCCAGTGACAGCCACAGGACCAATGGATTAACAGCAGGGTGGCACACAAGCCCAAAGACAATGGGGGCCAGATAACACTGGGTGCAGGCAGACCAGCTGGTCACTGAAAATCTCCTTTCTAGCCCCTCCCAACCCATCTCGGTTCCTCCCTTCTGCACCAGCTGGGCAGGGTTACAACTGAAGAAGGCAGAACTTGGAAAGTAGGAGGGTTGGGAGTAGAGGTGAAGAGAGGGTCTCTAAGGTGCAGGGCCTGCCTGGCTGGGGTGGGAAAAGGGCTGTGGTCAAGCCCAGATGGTGAAGGCAGAGCTTCTCTGACTTGAGGTCTTCGCCTGCCTTCCCTAAACCCCAGCTAGGACCAGGCTTCCACTCTCTCCTGATTACCTGCCTTCCCCCAACCTCTAAACAATGACGTATAAGGAAGCTGATGTTCCTCCCAGGGAAGTATGTATTCATTAAAAAAAAAAAAAAAAAAAAAAAGCTAGGCATCTGGAGAATGCAGCCACTAAAAAATAATGGTAACAAATGGAACCATGTGTAAGAGAGAAAGCAGAATTAATGGATAGGCTATAATAAGAATGTCAAATAAACGTAACAGACATTCTAAAAAAGATAATGGAGTTTTATAGGTAACAGGAAACAAAAAGAAGCAGTTATAAAGAATAACCAATGAGAAATACTGAGTATGAAAGACATAAACATTGAGAAAAAATATCATAGCAGCCCTCACTTACTATAACTTAGTTTGTTCTAAGCACTTTGTATGGATTAGATCACTTAATCCTCAAAAAACAATTCTAAAAGGTAGGTGTTATTATTCCCATTCTATAGATGAGAAAACTGAAGAAACTCAAAGCATTATTCTTAACTTGTGTCCTATGCCTTAACAGAGAGGTTAAATAGAAGGATGTACGTACTAAAACACAAAATAGCAATCTGAAAGATAAGGTTGAGGAAACAGAAAATTCTAACAAAGAAGAAAAAGCAAGACGACGAAGAGAATAACACCTATATAATGGCAGTCCCTGAAGGAGATGAAAATAAGAAGGAAATCTTTGAAGAAATAATGGCTGAGAAATTTCCTATTATTAAAGAAAAATTAAAGACCACAGAATGAAAGGATTCACAGTGTCCCAAATACAACGACTAAAGAAAAAACACACCTAGGCACATTTTTTTGGCATGAAATTTAAAAATATGAAAGCCGAGGAAATACTGCTAAAGGGAGAAGGAAGGAAAAAGAAATATTCCAAAGGAAAAAGAAACAGTTTAATATCATCTTCTATCTCAAAGCATCAACACTAGATTCAAGAAGACAGTGAATTCATATTTTCAAAGTGTTACAGAAAAAGAACTCTGAACCTAGATTCTGAGATTCATCTATTATTTAAACATAAAAAAGAAATAAAAATATTCTCAACTATACAAGTTCTTGAAAGTTTTTATCACATGAATACCCTCTTTCAAAAGGTCCTACGAGGAAGTAGTCCAGTGAAAAAATAAATAAATGCAAGATGTTATTACACAGTATGTGGAAAATAAGGCATATAATATTACATAATTTTAATCTTGCATACAAAGCCACAATCATAAGAACAACAACAAAAAAATTAAGGCAATCCTAAAGTAAAAATGTAGGCACCAATATGGGAGTAGGTAGGGTAGGAGGGAGGAAGCGGACGGAGGTGAGAATGAGTTCAGTGGGAAGACAGAGGTACTGGCAAACCAAGAGCTGTTAATAAGTTAGGGACCATCGCCAGGAGGATAAAGATAGAATGTATAACTCTCAAACCAGAAGAAATTCTTACCTACCAAAAGTAGATGGGAAATGAAAATATAGGGAAAAAGTACAGTTAAACATGAAATAAGACAGCAAAAATGATCCTAAGAGAACAATAATCAATATACATGTGTTCTAAATGCACCAATTAAAGACAGGGATGCTCATATTTGATTTTTTAAAAAGGTAAAACAACATGTTAGCTACAAGACACACACCTAAAACAAAACAATATAGAAATATGGAAAGGCTGATAATAAAAGAATGGCAAATATAAACCAAAAGAAAGTTGAGGTAGCCATTCCAACAATAGAAAAAAAAATTTCAAGGTGGAAAAACACATACCTTGGTCAAATAATCTATTAAGTGAAGTATCCTAAGAATGGAAAAACAAGCACCACATGTACTCACCATCAAGTTGGTATTAACTGATCAACACTTAAGTGAACATATAGTAATAACATTCATCGGGTGTTGGGCAGATCGGAGGAGGGTAGGGGGAGAGGAAGGGATGGGTATATACACACGTAACGTGTGCAGTGCGCACCATCTCGGGGAAGGACACACTTGAAGCTCTGACTAGGGTGGGGCAAGGGCAATATACGTAATGTAAACATTTGTACCCCATAATATGTTGAAATTAAAAAAAATAAAAATAAAAATATGATATTTTTGTTAAAAAAAAAAAAAAAAAAGAATTCAAGGCAGTAGAGTTTTAAATGTGGCAAAGAGACCAAGCAATAAAAGACTGAAAAATACCCACTAGATCTGAATATTGAGAAACCCCTGTTAATCTTAATGAGAACACATTCGCTTGAATAGGGGAGGCAGAAACTACATTATATTATATTAGGCTGAGAAGGAAATGGGGAATTAAGAAATGGTGACAATGCGCGGGGCCTAATTGTTCAAGAAACTCTGGTTACATGGTTATAAAGAGAGAATTTTTAAAGGAAAAGACTTAAGCATGTTTCTAGCAGATGGGATGGAACTGGTGAAAATCAGCAGAAAGGTGAGGATCAAGAGCCCTGAGGATGGGGATGTGGTCATGAGCTCCTGCTCTGGCAGGGTGAGGCACAGCTCTTCCTCCAAAAGAGCAGGGACCTTTACTGGCCTTGTTCACTGATGAACCCTAAACTTCTCTAACAGTGCCTAGTACATAGTGGGTACCCAGTAAGTACTTGTGGGATGAATGCTATTGAAGTGAGAAGGAAGTGAAAAACGGAGGCACATTTGCTGGTGGTGGGGGTGGGGGGAAGAATAGTTGAACGAAAGAGTCAAACGCAGCCTTCATATCTGTATAAGGTAGGAGCCAAGATCATCTGAGAGAAAGGACAGAAGTAGGAATAGAGTGAAGGTTTTAGACAGCTGCTGTAGAAAATGGTAGAAAAGGGCTGATGAGAGATGAGCTAGAGATTTGATGGAGGGCCAGCAATAAACAGAGCCACTCATTTCTAGGGACGTCAAGCCACCCAGTTGTTTTTCTCCAAGAAGACGCAGCGCTGACTTCAGAAGTAGGTGACGCGATGGACTCAGAACTGTAAACTCAGCAAACCGAATCCAACAGACAACCAGAGGAAATGAAGTGGATAGTGAACGAATGGCTGTAGTAGTGAATTATGCAAACAGGGATATAAGAATGGACAGAAGAACCTCCAAGGGGACAGACAAACCAAGAAAAAAAGGGAGAAGGGATCCAGGACCAAAGGTGAGGTCACAGAGGAAGAGGAGGAGGGCGGGAGATTGGAGCACAGAGGATAACGGCAACCTCCTGTCTCTGCCTCCCTCCTCTAACCTCGTCTTTCTCCAGTTCATCTACAGTTAATTTCAGACTAATCTCTTGATGGCTTAACTATGACCCTGTCAATACCTTGTTTATATATTTTGTAAATTCTTCACTGCTTACCAAATTCATCTTAATTCTCTGGCTCAGTGCTCAATAGTCTTCCCTGCTTTGGCATCGACCTATACCAAACATCCCTGTGTACACCCTGTCCAACCAGACCACTTACCATTCTGCAGGCATATGAATTCAGCTCATAGCACTGTGTGGGTGGTTCTGTTCCACCTAGAGGGACTACTCACTCTCCCTCCTTAGAGTTGTCACTTTCAGCAAGTAAAAATACAGGATGCCCAGTTAAATTTGAAGTTCAGATAAACAATGAATAATTTTTTGATACAAGTATGTCTCATGCAAAATCTGTATTTCTCTGGTAATCCTATCCTCCACCCCCATCAACACATCAGTATGTCGTCCATCCTTTAATGTCACATTCAAAATGTCAGCGTAATCATAAAGTCTTCCCCAGTTCCTTCAAAAGTATATTCCTTCATTCAATCAATGACTATTTACTACGCTAAATACAGGGTAAAAACCGTGAAGAAGGAATAGTCTCTACCTCCAAGGAACTTCCAGGTTAGAGAAGGAGTAAGTAGACAGTTGCTATAAATAAGTAGGTACAATATGCCATATGAGCAAAAAGCAGGCACATCTTCCTCTACTCATACAATGGGCACTTATGAAAACTTCTTGAAAAAAGAGGCATGTTACACTCAAAACTTAGAACAGAACAGAAACTCAAATGTTCACTGAATGAATGCGATTCCTTCAAAAAACTTCTCAAGATGAATATAAACATACTAAACATTTACTAAATATAATTTTTTTTTGTGACATCTTCTGGCTTGATTTGACAAAGAGACCATTTAGCCAAATTTTCTTTTTTTTTGAGACAGAGTCTTGCTCTGTTGCCCCCCTGCTAGAACGCAGCGGTGTCACCACAGCAACCTCAAACTCTTGGGCTCAAGCGAGCCTCCTGCCTCAGTCTCCTGAGTAGCTGGTACTACAGGTGTGCAACACTGCACCCAGCTATTTTTTTCTATTTTTAGTAGACACAGGATCTCAATCTTGCTCAGGCTGGTCTTGAACTCCTGAACTCAAGTGATACTGCCACCTCAACCTCCCCAGAGTGCTAGGATTATAGGCATGAGCCACCACGCCCGGCTGCCAACTTTTTTTAAAAAAGAAAAATGTCTTCAATATAATGGAAATATAGTGATGATCCAATCAATGGTCAATCACTTTGAATAGGTTAGATCTGCGGTCCCCAACCCCTGGACCCTAGACCGATGCCAGTCCATGGTCTGTTAGGAACCAGGACACAGCAGGAGGTGAGCAATGGGTGAGTGAAGCTTCATCTGTATTTACAGCGCTCTCCACCACTCCCATCACTGCCTGAGCTCCGCCTCCTGTCAGAACAGCCTCAGCATTAGATTCTGCATTAGGGTGAATTGTATAATTATTTCATTATATATTACGATGTAATAATAATAAAGTACACAATAAACGTAATGCACTTGAATCATCCCCAAACCACCCTCTACCCTGGTCTGTGGAAAAATTGTCTTCCATGAAACCTGACCCTGGTGCCAAAAAGATTGGGGGATCGCTGGATTAGATAAATTAAAACAGTTATTAGAACCTTCAGTATCCTAAAAGAGAAAAAAATGAAAAAACCTTACCACTCGTTGAGCCGCTATCAGTGCTGCTAATGTACTTCGCCCTGGTGCTCCTGGGGCACAGAAGGAAACCTGGACTTTGCTTCCCTTGATGGTCATCCCATCTGCTGCTTGCTGAACCTCTTCAGCCTGCTCTGCAGTGTTATATTCAACCACCGCAAAGCCGCCAACATAACTACCTTCATCCTGTGCAAGCTGATGTAATACGTTTTATTAAAAGGGAGTTCTCATGTTTATTTAGAAACATTTATTTATAATATATAATTTTCAAATCCAAGAAGTAGTATATCAGAGCATGATACTGGTAAAAATAATGTATTCTTTCTCTATGAAAATAAAAGTTTACTAATTGTTTAGGTGCAGTGCTTCCTGAAGACAGGAAGATAAACAAGAGTCTGTAAAGTTTCTTTTTAATTCTTTGATTTTCTAATTTAACAGTCAAAGCCCAAATGGTAATAGTCCCTACATATTAAGAAATATATACAATTGATAATTTATAGGAAAAATGAGGACACAATTAAAACTTTCTTTAAAACAAAATTTACCAGATACATGGACAATGTAACACACTGAACAATTATTTAATATTTGACCACATGTCAATATAAAATAGTTAATATAATTGAGAAGAAAGGTAGGAAGAATATTTTAGGCAGATCCCAGGAATTTCATCAAGTGTACCAAAGCGAGCCTTATTGAGGAAAATTGTGCCCCAGGTTTGTTAAAGTACCATAACACACACTTTTATTCTTCTGAATGTGCCCTAAATCCCTGCCATGTAGAACTCGATTTATCTCCAGTCACCCACCTGTAAGAGTGTAAAGGAAGATACTAAAGTCCTGGATCTGTAAAGACCGGTACAAAGAGCAAAAATAAGAACAAAATGAGACACTAAAACGTTTCTAAGTTTTGAACATGTCTGAATTATCTTAAATATATTTATGGTATAAAGAGATAAATGTGACAAAATTCAGCTTGGTATATCTTTGATATTATAATTAAATCATTTCTTAGTCTTTTTTAGTTTCTTTTCTCTTATTTTTGAAACTTTTCTTTTATTTTCTTCTAGGTTTAGACCAAATTTCTAGTTTTCCTTCACATTATTACATCTTCCCTTTAAAACTGTCCTCGAATGTCTTTTTCTCTATAAAACTTTTTCCAATCCTGAAGTTGTTTTATTGATCTTTTGGAAACTTTAAAAATATTTTTTACTATTCCTGCTTCATTATGATGATCTTCATATCCATACAAATTGTAATATCATCTGGGTCTTTTAAAAGACAAAATCATTTTAAGTCTGTAGAATCAGTAGTTTCAGACAGAACTACTTAGGTTCAATAAGAAGGCCATTCAAAGATGTAATGAATGGTCTGACTTGTAATCTAGTCAATTTTCCATTATTTTGAAGTATTTAGCAGAAGCTAACTAGTCACTCAGAAATACTGTAGCAAACATTTTCTATCAGGTGTAAAGCTAGACTAGATTATCTCGAAGGTCCCTTCCAACTCTGGGATTCATAATTCGAATACAATTCATGATAAAGAGCTTTTCCCTCACATTTGCTTCAAAGGCCTCAACTAAAGGTACAAAGAATTATGTACAGCCATAGGATGATAATACTATATAATTCTTAGTATTCAAGAATAGCACCTCAATAAACCAATCAACTTTCAATAACTGGACAAAGATTTGTCACAAAATATTCTAATTTTATACAGTTTGGAAAGTTTGATGCTTATTATATTGGGATTAGAGGGGTAGAGATATAAGAAAAAGTAATATGGCGGCACTGATCTTAAAAATACATATTATTCCATGATCTCACTCATGTGTAGAATCTAAACAAGTTGATCTCACCTAAGTAGAGAGTAGAATGGTGGTTACCAGGGGCTAGGGCGATTGGCAGGGGCGGAGGTATTGGAGAGATGTTGGTCGAAGTATACAAAATGTCAATGAGATAGTAGGAATGGGTTAAAAAGATATTTTGTACAACATGGTGACTATAGTTATAACAATAACAATGTATTGTATTCTTAAAAATGCTAAGAAAGTGGATATTCTCACCACAAAAATGATAACTATGTGAGATAATGCAAATGTCCATTAGCTAGATTTAGCCATTCCACAATGTGTATATATTATATTAATACTTCATGTTGAACATAATACAATTTTATCCATCCATGTTTTTAAAAATCGTAAAATATATATACACTCCAAGTCCAAAATTTCTACTACAATATTAATAACTCAACAAATGTATGACTGAAGAAAAAAAGGAGGAGAAGGAGTACGGAAGAAAAGGTGGTAAAGGGAAGAGAGAGAAGAAAGAAATGAAGAGAAGCAAGAGAGAAAGAATTGATTAGTTGCTATATAAAATCTGTAAGGAAAGGAGTTCTATACAGTATACATTTCTATTTATTAGGATATATTTAATTTTACAATGATAACGAGCTTGAAAATTCTCACCAGTGTTGTCAGTTTTCAGGAACTTCTCTAAATGTCTCACCTACCATGACCCCATTAAAACAGAATTATACATTCTTTTTAAACCTCATAATATTTTTCTTTCCTTCATTATGTCACTCTTCATACAGGGTTTGCAATTATTTGCTTGTCAGTCTCTTCTCCAGAGTGAAGAGGTTTTGAGATAGAGTATCTTTTCATTCTCTGCATTTCTGACACTTGGCATAGTGTCTGGCACAGAGAAAATGGCAAGTAAGAGTTGGAGAGATGAATGGATCGATGGGTAAATAGTTGGACAGATGGATGGAATGAGAAGGTGAATGAGTAAGCAACGGATTTGCTAAGGCATACATAACTACCTAACAATATATATACTCTGGCCTATCAACAGAAGGAATTGATTTAAAATTTCCCATAACACTAAGTCTTAATTACAGACTAAAACAGAATTATTCACTGTGATATTCACACAAGTATGATAAATTTGTAAGCACATGTAAAACAGATACATATGCATATATTTTAAAATATTTCTAATAATCTCTGAAAAATACATACCTGGCAAAACACAGGTTTATGGACACTGGAAAAAAATTGCAACAGCTCTTCTGAATCCCTGTAGTCATTAGGGAGTTTATCAATACAAAGGCACTTAGAATGAATGAGCTCTGAGGCCAATAGATTAACATCCATCCATTGTGCAAAGAGTGCTGATGCTCCCAACTGTTTACCCAATAGCTCCAATCTAGCCTTTGCAGCAAAGTCCTTTTTCATGTATTCCACAAATCCGTAGCCTTTGGAATGGCCAGTAACTTCACTGTAGACCAGAAAACATCTCTCGATATTTCCATAAGCACGAACAAGTTCTTCAAACTCTTCTAATGTAAAAGAAATGGGCAGGTTGGTAATACACAGCAAAGCATCTGTTGGCTGGAGCTGGACTATTAAGTCTTTTCCTCGAAAAGAATATTGATGAAATGTCTGAATTGCATTCTGTGCTTGTTCTCCATTCAACAACGTAACAAAAGCTGGAAGATAATAAAATGAATTAAAGAGCTTTCTAGGCCAGTGTTTTCACACTTTCTGACTGTGACCCACAGTAAGAAATATATTTTATGTCTGTGACTTAGTACACACATATATTTTTTTTCTGAAACAAAACTATCATTAATACCCCCACCATGTGCAACTGATAATTTTTATTCTATTTTCCTGTGTTTTTTAATGCTGACAAATCCACTAATTTTATGACCAGTAACCTAAATAGAAAGTATAGGAATTATATTAGGAGTTTCACTGTAAAATCCTACAATATTTTGGGATTTTTTTTATTTTTTGGTTTTTTAAACAATCTTTTCCAACTACACACATATTTAATTTTTCTTCCCAACAACCAGTGATATAAAATTTTATGAAGCATTTATAAAAACCCTCATTGGAATAAAATGAGGTTACAAAACCTTTTTTTTTTTATTTCAAGAGAGTTCTAAAAGACCCTTTGATAGCAAGGACCTGAAAAAATGAAGGTATGGCAAAAAGACATACAGATGCTCAAAGGAGGCCAGATCTTTCTCCAATTCATATACATTTCCTTAAAACCATATTAATTAGATTGAAACAACATATACACACATAACTTGATATCCTTTTTTTTTTTAAGTATTACAGGGTACAGATAATTGTGGTTACATGAATCGCTTTTATACAGCTTGAGAAACGTTGTAACAGTGACTGTCAACCAGATATTGTTCATTGTATCTGTGAGGTAGGTTTTTTGCCCGTCCCTTCCCACCATTCCCCCTGGTTGATTTCTGTTGAATTTTACTTCCCTCTATGCACATGTGTGCTCATTGGTTAGTTCCAATTTAGTAATGAGTACATGTGGTGTTTGTTTTTCCATTCTTCAAATCCCTCATTTAGGATAATGGTCTCCAGTTCCATCCAAATTGCTGCAAAAGGCATTAATTCATCCTTTTTTATGGCTGAGTAGTACTCCATGGTATACATGTACCACATTTTGTTAATCCACTTGTGAACTGATGGGTACTTGGGCTGACTCCACATTTTTGTGAAATTGTGAACTGTGCGTGCTGCAATAAACATTTGAGTGCAGGTGTCTTTTTGATAAAATGACTTCTTTTCCTTTGGGATTGCTGGATCGAATGTAGGTTGACTTTAAGTTCTCTGAGGAATCTCCATACTGTTTTCCATAGAGGTTGCACTAATTTGCAGTCCCATCAATGGTGTATAAGCATTCCTTTCTCTCTGCATCCACATCAGCATCTATTGTTTTTTGGACTTTTTAACAAAGGCCGTTCTGACTGGAATAAGGTGATATAGCTCATTGTGGTTTTAATTTGCATTTTCCTGATGATCAGTGACGTTGATCATTTTTTCATGTTTATTGACAATTTTTCTATCTTCTTTTGAAAAGCTTCTGTTCATGTCTTTTACCCACTTTTTAATAGGGTTGCTTGATTTTTTCTTGCCGACTTGCTTGAGTTCTTTGTAGATTCTGATTACTAGCTCTTTATCAGATGTATAGCTTGTGAATATTTTCTCCCATCCTGTAGGTTGTCTCTTTGCTTTGTTAATTATTTCCTTGACTGTGTAGAGCTTCTTAATTTAATCAAGTCCCGTTTATCTATTTTTGTTGTTTCTGTAATTGCCTTTGGGATCTTCTTCATAAATTCTTTGCCTAGGTTGCTATCTAGAAGAGTTTTCCCCACATTTTCTTCTAGAATTCTATGGTTTCATACCTTACATTTAAGTCCTTTATTCATCTTGAATTAGTGCTTATAAATGGTGAGAGATAAGGATCCTGTTTCATTCTTCTGCATGTGGCTATCCAATTTTCCCAGCACCATTTTTGGTATAGGGATTCTTTTCCCCAGTGCATACTGTTGTCTGCTTTGTCAAAGATCAGATGGCTGTATGTGGATGGTTTTATTTCTGGGTTTTCTGTTCTGTTCCATTGGTCTATGCCTTTATTTTTGTGCCAGTACCATGCTGATTTAGTTACTATAGCCTTGTAGTATAGCCTGAAGTCTGGTAAGGTGATGCCTCCCAATTTGTTCCTTTTGCTTAAGGTTGCTTTGGCTGTTTGGCTCTTTTCTGGTTCCACACGAAGCGTAGAATTATTTTTCTAGCTCTGTGAGATACGACGTTGGTATTTTGATGGGAATTGCACTGAATCTGTAAATCACTTTAGGTAGTATGAACATTTTAACAAGGTTGATTCTACCGGTCCACGAGCATGATATGTTTTTCCCCTTGTTTGTATCTCTGATATACTTTTTTGATGAACAATATCAAATGAAAAAATTACAGGATTCTGCTCTTGGACAAGAAACTTAACTTTACATCTTTATAAAACAATGAAAAGCATTTGTCCTGTCTACCTAATGAAATTGTTCCAGCATCAAGCAACAAATGCAATATGACAATTTATATAATCAAAAACATGATACAAATATAAGGTTCTAAATCAATGAAATATGTACATTCACAACTGATAAAATCAAATTTTAACCATCAATTTGTTTAATCTGTTGTCATAAAAGAATATAAAAGATTTTTACCAATTGTACAGGAAAAATTTAAAGCCCCCATTAAAAGAAATAACACAGGGCAATTCACAAATTACAAATGAATTGCTCTCTGAGAGTTCCTCCCTCTCCCTCTGGAACATACAGTGAAATTGCTCCATGTGAGCATTTCATTTACCCAAATTAAATTAGAACAATGTGGTAATATGTAGTAAATGGCACATATATATATATATACACATACATATCAAGAGAAAAAAGAGAATTTAAATAGCATGGGTAATTTGCCTGTCATTTCACTCAGTCTGCTCTTCCCTCAGTTGCTCTTAGTGCCCATGCGGCTCTCAGAGTGAGAGCATCTCACCACATTGAGTGTGATGCTAACATTTAGAAAAACACATTTGTCATTTAACATGGTCTCCACATGCAAGGAAACTATTGCCAAAGGAACAGCTAACTCTTCCAACACTAGAGAAAAAATGTCTTTGCTGCCCTTATTGAGACTATCTGTCGGTTTCCAACACGCTTTTTAAAAGGGGCTGGAATTGTTTTGATTCTATGTCTTCTTTCCTTATGCTGACATAAAATACTACTTAACTCTATTTTTCTAAAACAAGGATGTGAGTCAACAGTTTGTAAATACTGGTTATGTTCCTATATCATCCCACAAAATCATTAGCTCTTACTTGACTTTAATTCTCAGGGCACTTGAAACTGTTAATCATTCCCTTTTTTTTTTTTTGAGACAGAGTCTCACTCTGTCGCCCTGGCTAGAGTGAGTGTCGTGGCATTAGCCTAGCTCACAGCAATCTCAAACTCCTGGGCTCAAGTGATCCTACTGCCTCAGCCTCCCGAGTAGCTGGGACTACAGGCATGCACCACCATGCCCGGCTAATTTTTTCTATATATTTTTAGTTGTCCAGATCATTTCTTTCTATTTTTTTTTAGTAGAGACGGGGTCTCGCTCTTGCTCAGGCTGGTCTCAAACTCCTGAGCTCAAACAATTCACCCGCCTCAGCCTCCCACAGGGCTAGGATTATAGGCGCGAGCCACTGTGCCCGGCCACATTCCCTTCCTTAATATACTCTTTCCTGATTCTACTCATAACTGTCCAAACACCGCTTCCTCTATTTCCTTTCTAGATCTTTCTCCTCTACTCACACCTGTAGGGTGGTACTCCTTAGAGTGCCTTCCTGACAGATACACTCATGGTAACACCTGTGTGGCCACATCTGGCAGTCCCAAACCACTGAATCTCTCCTCTCTCACTCCACATCCTCTTCCCCTCAAGCAATCATGCCCATTCCCATTTACTCAGTATCATGTGCCAGGTACCGAGTAGACACTGGAAATGTGCTGGTGAACAGAACAGGTAAGATCCCTTTCAACATAACTCACAATCCAAAAGGAGACGCTAGACATTTAACAAAGAGTTACAGATGTGGCATCATCTAAGTACGAGGGGCTAATGAAAGCAATTAAATAGAGCAAAATAACCTTGTCTGCGGACTCACAGAAGTCTTCCTATAGCCTTATAATTCCCAAATCTATGTTTCTAACCTTCCCTTCCCTGTAAATCTGCATACTGATTCCGAACCATAACTCAGGATCAGCATCCTATCCCTGAGCCCACCCCAATCTCAATCCTGCTCATCTTCCTTTATCCCCTACTTCAGTTGGTAGCACCACATTCACAAATCAGAAACCTGGCACTTAACCTAGACCCTGTCTCCCTCATCTCTGATATAAAAAGAATCTTCAAATTCTACCCTTCAAACAGGTCTTGAATCCATCCTCTTTTCTTTATTCCTGTAGCTTTTCCTCTTTTTTTTTTTTTTTTTTTACAGGGTCTTAGGCCGGGCGCGGTGGCTCACACCTGTAATCCTGGCACTCTGGGAGGCCGAGGCGGGCGGATTGCTTGAGCTCAGGAGTTCGAGACCAGCCTGAGCAAGAGCAAGACCCCGTCTCTACTAAAAATAGAAAAATTAATTGGACAACTAAAACTATATAGAAAAAAATTAGCTGGGCATGGTGGCACATGCCTGTACTCCCAGCTACTTGGGAGGCTGAGGCAGAAGGATTGCTTGAGCCCAGGAGTTTGAGGTTGCTGTGAGCTAGGCTGACGCCATGGCACTCTAGCCCAGGCAAAAAGAGTGAGACTTTGTCTCAAAAAAAAAAAAAAGAGAGACAGGGTCTTATTCTGGCACCCAGGCTGGAGTGCAGTGGGGTAATCATACATCACTGTAGCCTCAAAATCCTGGGCGCAAGCCATCCTCCCACCTCAGCCTTTTGAGTAGCTGGGACTACAGGTGCGTGCCACCACACCCAGCTAATGTTTTTTGTATGTAGAGACAGAGTGCTGCAATGTTGCCCAGCCTGGTCTTAAATTCCGGGCCTCAAGCAATCCTCCTATCTTGGCAGGAGGGTGATTTAGGGTCTATAGTATACATGTTTAACTCATCAGAGTCTACTGCCAAGTGAAATTATACCACTTTATGTACTGCATAAGAAATTTGTAACAGTATACTTCCATTTCTCATCCCCAACCTTTGTATCATTACTGTTAATACATCTTATTTCTACATGTGCTATAAACCTCACAATACAGTGTTATTTTGTTTTTAACATTCTACGATCTTTTAAAGAGATTTAAATATTAAGAAAAAAGTCTTTACCAACATAATGAGCACATCTGGTATTTGTCACTTTGTTGTGTAGGTCCAGATTTCCATCAACTATACCTTCCTGCTTGAAGGACTTCCTGAAGTAACTCTCATAATGCAAGTTTAATGATGATGAATTCTTTCAACTTTTGTGTAACTGAAAAACATCTTTATTTCACCTCATTTTCAAAGATATTTTCTATGGGTAAAAAATCCTATGCTGACCTTTGTTTTCTTTTAGTAAACAAAGAAAAGATGATGCCCCATGGTCTTCTCACTTGTGTTGTCTCCAAGAAATCTGTGGTTATCTTAATCTTTGTCCTTCTAAATGTAAAGTATCCTTTTTTTCTGGCTGTTTTTAAGATTTTCTCTTTATCACTAATTATAAGCAATTTGAGTATAATGTACCTTGTAGTTTACTTCATGCTTTTGTGCTTGGGGTTGGTTGAGCTTTGTGGATCTCTGGGATTAGAGTTTTCATCCTATGTCAAAAATTTTTAGCCATTAATTCTTCATATATTTTTTCTGTACTACCTCCTCTTTCCCCCTGCAACAGGGACTCCAATATTTGGATTCTTGAAGTTGTCCCACAGTTCACTGATACTCTGTTCATGTATTATAGTCTTTTTTCTCTTTCATTTTGGATAGTCTCTATCATTGTTTTCAAGTTTACTAATCTTTTCTTCTACAATGTCTACTGTTAATCCTATCCAGTGTATTTTTCATTTTTTTTTATCCTTTTTGTTTTTCAATTTCAGAATATTATAGGGGTACAAACATTTTGGTTACATGGATTGCTTTTGTACTGCTTGAGTCAAAGTTATAAGTGTGCCCATCACCCAGATAGTGTACATTGTACCTGTTGGGTCTGATTTCACCCATCCCCTTCTCTCCTCTCCCACCTACATGATTTCCATTGAGTTTTATTTCCATCTGTGCACATGAGTGCTAACTGGTCAGTTCCAATTTAATAGTGAGTACACGTGGTGTTTGTTTTTCCATTCTTGTGATACTTAGGATGATGATCTCCAGTTAACAACCTTCAAATTAAACAAGTCAGTCAAAGATAAAGAACAGAGAATTAAGAGGAAGGAATAAAGCCTACAAGAAATATGGGATTATGTAAAGAGGCCAAATGTAAGACTTATAGGCATCCCTGAGGGTGAAGAAGAAAACACACAAGGGTTAGAAAGCCTATTTGAGGGAAAAATTGAGGAAAACTTCCCTGGTTTTGCTAGAAATTTAGATACCCAGGTACAAGAAGCTTAACGAACACCTGGGAGATTCATTGCAAAGAGGCAATCATCACAACACATAGTCATGAGACTGGCCAAAATCAACATGAGGGAGGAACTCCTGGGAGCCACAGGTGAAAACATCAGGTAACTTACAAAGGAAAACCCATCAAGCTAACCGCAGACTTCTCAAGTGAGACCTTACAAGTCAGAAGGGATTGGGGCCCCATCTTCAGTCTTCTTAAACAAAATAACGGCCAGTCTAGAATTTTGTATCCTGCAAAACTAAGTGTCTTATATGAGGGAGAAATAAAGACTTTTTCAGACAAGCAAACACTGAGGGAATTTGTCAAGACTAGACCTGTCTTGCAGGAAGTACTCAGATCTGCATTATATATCGATCAGTACAAAAGAAACCCACCAGTGTATTTTTCATTTCATACGTTGTAATTTTCATCTCTAGAAGTTTCATTTGGATAACTTTTTATATATTTCATGCCTCTATTTACCATGTTCAATCTTTACTATAACTTCTTACGCACATGAAACACAGTTATAAAAACTGGTTGAATGTCCATTTTCGTTAATTCATCTGTGTCCATTCTAAGCCAGTTTCAGTTGATTTATTTTTCTCTTCATTATACATTATATTTTCCTGCTTCTTCACCATGTCTAGTATTTTTTTATTGGATGTCAGACATTGTAAATTTTACCTTGTTGGATGTCAGATGTTTTTGTATTCATATAAATATTCTTGAGTTTTGTTCCAGGATGTGGCTAAGTTACCGGGAAACAGTTTGATCCTTTCTGGTCTTGTTTTTAAGTTTTGTTAGATAAGACAAGAACATCATTAGTCTTAGAGTTCATTTTCCCCACTACTGAGACAAAACCCTGAGTATTCCTCCTGATGTCCCATCAATTATGAGGTTTATCATCCTGGCTAATAGAAATGGCACTATTCCTGGCTACATGTGAGCTGTGAAGACTGTTACCTCTAATCCCTTTGTAGCTCTCTAGTAACATTGAAATTGTACATACCTATGACTTAGCACTTCAGTTATGGAGAAATAGTTGAAGTGTATATTAGAAGACAACTAAACAGACATTCATTGCAGCATTGTTTGAAATACTGGAAAAGTTAAAGCTTCCTGAATGCCTATCAATCATGGATACATTAACTGTGATAAATTCGCATGACAATTACATGTAGCAGTTTACATCAATGAACTAGAGTCACATATATCAATGTGGAAAGATCTGGAAACAACATTGAGTTAAAAACAAAAAAGTGTAAGTTGCCAAATAAAACACACACAGTAGTATATCATTTACGAAAAGCTTAAAAGGAGACACGGAATAAAATTTTATATATACATATGCACATAAATGGTAAAATTACATGTATTAGTCAAGATATTGTGGTAAGAAACAGCCTCACAATCTCAATGACATAACAAAACAAAAAGTTTTCTTCTTGTTCATGCTATGTATCCCATGCTGAAGGTAAGGAAGGAAGGAAGCTTCTCATTATAGTTACTCTGAGACCTAGGTTGAAAGAGGCTCTATTACCTTCCCTGATTACTTTGGCAGGGGGAAGGGTGAGCAGTGAATCACATGCTGGCCCTGAAAGCTTCCCCCTAGAAGGGATACATGTTATTTCCATTCTTGTTTCACTCATCAAAAAGCATATCACAAGTCCACTCCTAACTTCAAAGAGGGGTAGGTAAGTACTATCTTACCTGTGCCCAGAACAAAAAAGAACAAGAATCTGTGAACAGCTCTAATGACTACCACAATATAATGGCACAGATTGGAAAATATGCTCCAAATTCATAAGTGTTTTCCTCTATGTAAGGAGGGAGGGAGGAAATGGAATTAGTAGCACAAACTGAATTCATCTGTATCTGTAATGTTCCTTTTTTCTATTTCTTTAAAAAACCTGAAAATAGTCAATAGATCTACCTGAGGCTATAGCACCTATATACAAACATATTAACAAAATATTAACATTTGCTAATTTGGGAGTAGATGTGTACATAGTGGTTATATCATCCTCCATACTTTCTTTATTATCTCAAAAAGATGCTTTTAAACAATTAAATATCACATACACACAAGGAAATAATCTATTTAAGTCTTTTGGTCTCACAATATAGAACTAATACCCAGAAAAACTAAGCAAGTTTCCCAATTTGCCCAGCTAAAGGTCAAATCACACAATCTATTCCCTAAGTCCAGAAATATATCACTAAAATATCATAGGGACATCAAGCCTATGATATTTTATGAAAAACACTCATTATAACAGAACACTCATTATAAAAATTCATGTATCTAGTAACATATTAATTTATGTGATTAAAATTTAGAATACTAATTTTACTTTCAGAAAATAAATTGTGTAACATTTATATGATTTAATGCTTAAGAATTTCATGATTAGTTTAAGCACAAAAAGACACTAAGCTTTTTTGTTCTGTAATGAATATATGTAGAATCAAAATGAAATTAGATGCTTAGAACTGAAATCTTACCCGTTCGTTTATTTCTGTCCACATAACAATACTTTAACTCATAGTCTTTTAGCAAATCATGAACCTCCTGAAAAAGACAAAACCACAAATTCAATAAACAAATAATAATAATCTTATTATTGCTATTATTATAGTTAACATTTACTTAGCTTTTAGTAGGTACTAGGCACTGGATTCAGTTCTTTTATTAAAACTAAGAACAGAATGAAGTCAAATTGCCAAGGTCATATAGCTAGTAATTTGCTGAGAGGAGAGTCACCCAATCGGCCTGGCTCCAGAGACAACACTCATAACCTCATGCCATATTGCCTTATTCCTTCCAGTATTAACTTCAAAAATGGTACACTACCATTGATAGTTACAAAAACAATACCATGAGTGCTCTAATAAGTAATCATATAAGTAATATGGAAATGGAAAACAAATAAGAGGACAGTTACAGTTGAGAAATATTTTCCCTTTTAACCCAATGCAAGAGGGGAGAAAAAAGTGATATAACAGACAAAGTATAAAAATATAAAGTTGGGTGAAAAATAATAGGACAGTTACAGTTGAGAAATATTTTCCCTTTTAACCCAATGCCAGAGGGGAGAAAAAAGTGATATAACAGACAAAGTATAAAAATATAAAGTTGGGTGAAAAATAATTCTTTATGACAAAAATGATAAAGGTAAAGTTGATAATTTAGTATTCCTTATTAGTAAGCCAATATTACAAATATTTTTAAAATACATATACTTACTGATTTTGTAAAATAGTTTTCTGAATCCTATGGTATTATGTTCAATATGCAAATTAGTTTATGTTACTATATTAATTTTTTTATCTTGTAAACTTCAATGTTTTCTTGGACTTACAGAAACATTTACTATAGTCTTCATTAAGAAACCATAACTCTTCTCAATAGTCTAACATAAACATCTTGCCAACTGACTAATTTAATACTTTATATAGAAGGTGACATGGTTTTGTTTGAAGGGATCCAATGTGTGCTTTTAGTTGCACAGAATCTAATCTCTCATTTCACTGGTTAACAGCCATCAAACGCTAGATAAAGAAAATATGATACTGCTCTTCACATTATCAAGTATCTGTAAACAAATGACATGTTATGTTAGTCATCCAGCTAAGAGAACCACCTAAGAGAGCTTAAATATTCAAAGATGCATTTTGTGATTTGAAAACACCCATATTTCTAATCATAGCTCTTCTATGTATCAGATGTGGGATACAGAGTTTGCCAACTGGGAAACCTTACAAAGCTTCCTACAAAGAAAAAACCAATTATTTTTCCCCATGCCCTGGTTGCTTTGACCCAGGCAAAAGTGGGTCATCCCTCAATTTGAGCCTTGGTAAGTTGGCCAAATTAAAAACAAAACCTGAAAGAGAGTCCTAACAACCATTTGCCAAAATTCTCCTATGCTCTGTCACACAGAACTGAAAGGATTAAAATTATAGTTCCCTATACTAATCTAGCTTTATATTATAACATTTCCACTAACTAATTTTAAAGAATGAAATAGCACCTTTGATTAACACACTTTGTCCTCTGACTGCCATTATCAGTTACAAATGTCTTAGAGCAAGATAAGTTAATCAAAATTGGTATTACTAATAGATAGCTTTAGTAACCTAGCATCAATACCTGCCTGAGTTTCCAGCCTGCTGGCATGCCGTACCGATTTTAGACTTGCCAGCCCCACAATCATGCGAACGAATTCCTTAAAATAACATATTCTGGATACTAATCCTTTGTTGTTAACTGTATTATAAATGTATTCCCCTAGAATGTGATCTTTTTGTTTATTTGTGGGCGTTTTGGTGAAGAGGAAGTTTTTCATTTTAATGAAGTCAAATTTATCAATCTTCTCCCTTAAAATTATGCTTTGTGTGCCTTAGGAAGTCCTTTCCTAACTGATGTATTTCCTTTTGTTTTTGAATAGTGTAAAATATTTTCCTTTCACATTTTAGTTTGGAGTTTGTTTTTGTGTGGTGTGAGACAGAGGGTTTTTTTTTTCTTTTCTCTTATGGGAAATTGATTTTATTTTTTTCCCATATGGGTAACCAGCTGTCAGGGCATCATCATTGTATAGCCCATGCTTTCCTTGATGATCTACAGAGCCATCTCTCATCTCTCAAGTTCCATGATTTATATGGATTTTCTTGCCTCTTGCTTTTGATTTCATTGGACATTTTGTCTATTCTGTGCTAAAACTATAATATCTTAAATAATATAGCTTTATAAGTTTTGATATCTGATAAAATCAACCCTCTTTTTAATTGCTATATAATATTACCTTTTAGGAATATATAATAATTTGCTTAACCAAACTCCTGTTGATGGACATTTGGGTTGTTTCTACTTTGGGGCTACCAAGAATAAAGCTAGAAGTAGAACTGCTGAGTAGAATATACTAAGGAGTAGAATTGCTAAATTATATGGTAGGGATAAGTTTATCCTTAAGAGAAACTGCAAGTTTTCCAAGATTTCTTAACCAATTTATACATTCACCAGCAGAATATTAGTTACAATTGTTCCACATTCTAACCAACACCTGGTATTTTCTGTGTTTTTAATTTAGCTGGTGGAAGTGCAGATATATCCAATTATGGTCTTATTTTGAATTTCCTTGATGCATAATGATATTATGGACCTTTTTATTTGCTTACTGACCATTTGGGTATTCCTTTTTTGTAAAATGCCATTCTAATCTTACATTGGATTGTCTTTATAAACTTGTAGAATTTCTTTACAAATTCTAGGTTGTTTTTATTAACTTTAGAATTTCTTTACAAAAATAGCATATACAAAAACATACGTATGCTTTGTTTTGTTTTGTTTTTGCTTGGAACTGCATTTGGATGTCCCACACCAGTCCTTTGTCAAATACAGGTACTGCAAACATCTTCTTTGAGCCTGTGGTTTGCTTATTCACTTATTAATAATGTCTTTATGGCCAGGCGTGGTGGCTCACACCTGTAATTCTAGCACTCTGGGAGGCCGAGGCAGGAGGATTGCTTGAGCTCAGGAGTTCCAGACCCACCTGAGCAAGAGCGAGATCCCGTCTCTATAAAAAAGGAAAATTAGCTGGGCATGGAGGTGTGAGCCTGTAGTCCTGGCTACTCGGAAGGCTGAGGCAGGAGGATCACTTGTGCCCAGGAGTTTGAAGTTGCTGTGAGCTATGATGATGCCACTAACGCTCTAGCCCAGGTGACAGAGCAAGACTCTGCCTCAAAACAAAAAGTCTTTTTGATGAGAAGATATTAATTTTAACAAGGTCCAATTGATCATATTTTCTTTTCTGGTTAATGTTTTTTGTGTCCTGTTTAAGAAAACTTTACCTACCCAAGGTCATGAGCACATTACTCTATCTTTTCTTCTGGAAAGTTTATCATCCTAACATTTACATTTAGGTTATGACCCATCTTAAAGAATTTTTCTAAATGGTGTTAGGTAGGGGTCAAGGTTCAATTTTTTTTTCTATATGAATATTAAACTACCCCAGCATCATTTATTGAAAAGACCATTCTTTCTACAACCAAACTGCTATATTATGTGTGGGTTAATTTCTGGACTCTATATTCTGTTCCATTGGTCTATTTGTCTAGTTGTTATACCAATATCACTTTATATAAATGATTATAGCTTTATAGCAAGCTTTGAAATCTGGTAGTGTAAGTCTTCCAACTTTTTTCCCTTCAAAATTATCTTGGCTATTCTACATCCTTTGCATTTCTGTATAAATTTTAGAATCAGCTTATCAGCTTCCATAAAAAAAAAAAAACTACTACTAGGAATTTCAGTGGGATTGCATTGACATGATAAATCAGTTTGGAAATAATTGACATCTAAATAATACTGAGTTTTCCAATCTGTAAATATGGAATGTTCTTCCATTGATTGAAGTCTTCTTAAATTCTTCTCTGAAATATACTATATACTTAAAATTTTCAATATATTTTTTATTAATTACATTTGATATTTTTGATGTTATTTGAAGTCAATGTTTAGAATTTGATTGATTTTTAATTTTCTAGCAATTGCTGGTATATAGAAATATGTTGACCTTGCATGTATCAATCTTGCCAAATTCACTTAATTCTAATTATAGTCTTTTTATTTTTTATATAATCATGTTATCTGCAAATAGACAGTGTTACATCTTTCTTTTTCATCTTCAAACTTTATTTAGCTGTACTGTGCTAGCCAGGATTTCCAATACAATCTTGAGTAAAATTGATCCCTGTATTGTTCCTAATCTCAGGCGGAAAGCTGTCAGTATTTCACATTGAATATGACTGTTTTGGGTTGTACTAGTTAATCTTTTAAGTTCGAGGACATTCTTTTCTATTCCTGCTTACTATGAGTTTTATGAGGAATGGATGTTAAATTTCGTCAAATGCTTTTTCTGCATCTATTGAGATGACTTAAATCCCATCTTCTTGACAGTGATCTCCAAACTCTTATTTCCACCTCAATCTTCTTCCCTAAGCTCCAAACCCATATGTGCTATTGTTTTGTTTGGAACTGCATGTGGATGTTCTACACCAGATGATACTTTTTGGGGGCCAAACATGGGGCCTACAATACGTTTCACGATATTAGCTGAGTAGATGTGCTCAATTTTAACTTGGCTGGGCTGGGCACGGTGGCTCACAACTGTAATCCTAGCACTTTGGGAAGTGGGATGATCCCCTGAGGCCAGAAGTTCAGGATTACCCTAAGCAATATAGTGAGACCCCATCTCTACAGAAAATAGAAAAATTAGCTAGGTGCAGTGGCAGCACATGCCTGTAGCCCCAGCTACTCAGGAGCCTGAGGTAGGAGGACTGCTCGAGTCCAGGAGTTTGAACCTGTAGTGAGTTGTAATGATGCCACTGTACTCTAGCTGGGGTGACAGAACAAGACCCTATCTCAAGAAAAAAAAAAAGAAAAAATTAACTTGGCTAAATTTTTTAATGCTTTCAATATAGTTATCTGGCTATAAAGTTCACTTGAGTACCAACATTTTGCCAAGAGAACATTTTGACTTGGCCTAAAAGAAATTAATAAACTTTCAGCTTTCC